GAAGTTACGTGGAGTTCTGTTAGCCAAATTGTTGATTTGATTACTCGGTAATCTGGCTATCCAAAATGATCTGGCTTAAAACCAGACTTACCTCCTCCTTTTTTTTTGTAAAAGGGAGGTATTTTTGGTTTGAGTCTTTCCCAGCACTGGGCTAAGGAACAGTGAAACAGTTGAAACAGCACTGATCTTTAGCATGGAGTAATGACAGGCAATGCAGAAAGGGTTGGAATGGTAGCCTTCTGCTGTGACTTGTTAGCAGCTGGAGCAATTCATCTGAGTGCAGCCTAAGCAATAAATAATGCCGTACTTTGTTATGGCTACTTGACTTCTGGTTTTGGCCCTGAATTCAAACACTTTGCCTTCTGTATTGCAATGTCTTTTCCTGCTCTATCTTGTACTGTAACATATCTATCTGGGATGGAATTTAGCACCAAATTGTGGACATCTGGATGTGAGTGCCCAGTAGAGATGTCCACCTGTGAGCTTCTCCAAAAGTAGGTATGTGCTGTTAGTGAATTGAATAGCTCTGTAGCTCCACTGGCTGTATTGAGTAGCTCTTATGGGAGCTTAACCAGCTGCAGCTGCCTTCTAAAGACTTGGCTCTGACAGCTGTGTTGTGATATGTTCTAGCTAAAAGCCTGTAGACGGTAGTCCAGCTACAGCAAACATAGTTGTACTTCTCCTTTCTGTATAAGACTCTCAAGTCCACTAGAGTTAAAAAAAGGCTTCCATTTTAAAAAATTGGACCATGCTTCAGACCTTGACTGTCCTTCTTTTTCTTCCTATTACTGTTTGTTATACTAGCTGTTGTTGTTGTTAGTGTGAAAACTAGGTTAGACCATTTCAGGAAAACTGGGCAATATTGTGATTGTCATCAGTCCATACAGATGTGCACTTGAAGATGGCAGGTTTTTTTTTTAATAACTTGTAATATCAACATGAATTAATTTAATAATAATTATACAGCTTAGTTTTCTAATAATCCGCTGTTCTTATGTCTTTGTAAAATACACTTTAGAGGCCTGGTTTCTATTTTTGACGACCTCGAGGTGGTTTGCTGTGCGTCTGGATGCCATCTGTGCCATTTTTGTTATAGCAGTTGCTTTTGGTTCCCTGCTTCTCGCCAAGAGTAAGTACAGATGTTAGAAAAAGTTCACCCAGTAATTACCATGTATAGTAATGTCTAATTCTTTTTCATAGTTTGCTGTTTCTAATTGTTTAAGGACTATAATTAAGTTAAATGTTTCTTTCTAGATCATGATCTCTTCCTTAGTCTAGGGCATTGGGGCTGTATCTGCTTTCCTGCAAATACTGGAGCCAGTTCAGACATCTTCCGGGCTTAGGCTTGCATCTACCATCATCCCCAAATGTGCAAACAAACTTGCAGATCTGTAGTCTTCGCTTTTGAGATTCTGGCTTTCAGAGCAATAACAACAAATAAATCTTTTTCTTTTTCCCCACCTTTGCCTTTCTTTTTTGGGGCCTACAAGGCTTTGCTTTTCATACTGAAACACCCACAGAGCTGCTTCTTAACAACTTTTTTCCTTTCTGCAGATGGCACAGTAGGCCAAAAGGCAAGCTAAAACTCCTAGGGATACTCTTCTAATATCTTGGATCAGCAGGATAGGCCAGTTCCAGAAAGAAAATCGCCTCATAATAATACACTTTATGTTCACTGTCACTCATGAACTGTCATTAGTGGATGCATCATCCAGGATGTAATTGGGTTAGATGTACTAGAATGAGATAGTCATCTAAAATATGAAGGAAGAAGTAATTATCTTGGACATGAAAATTAGTGCTAATTTGCTGGTTTTGTTTCTTTTCTTTTTCCTTTGGATAAGTTCTGTATATGCATGTGTGTTTTAGAATTTGAACACCCTGTGCTGCTCAACACTGAAAATTTTGAGCTAGGTTTGATGTTGTTAGAATGCAAAAAGACAAGTCAAAACAATAGTCCTGAATCTTTCCTTGCCTCTGGATAAGGAGTAGCTCTCTTGAAGCCAATAGAGCTACGCTAGGATAAAGTTCAAGTAAGTCAGAGGACAATGATGCTTAATATTGGGGCAGACAGAACTCATTTATTTTGTGAGAGTAGACACACTGAACACAATAAATGCTTATATAAACATGGGAAGAAGTATTCTGTCCTGTTATTTTATATGATTGCTTACACGAGTGCAAAGTTGATGTAAATGTTCGTAACTTATTTTGAAATCATTTTACGCTCATTTTTTGCTTAGGTTTAGGGTCTGATCTAATTCCCTTAGAAAAAAGTGAAAAGTTACTAATGTTCAGCCAGTGAGAGACGACCCTAACAAGTCTTGAGAGTGAACCTCAGTTTTTAGATAAAATGCTGGGCCAAGGAGAATTGCGATTATCTTTTCAAATATACAGACAATTTCCAAAGCATACCAAAAAAAATGCAGCAAGTAGCTGTTCTGCCTGGAGCTACTCGCTGCACAGATGGCAAGTACAGTGTAACCAAACAAAATTCTGGCTGTGATGCTTCCGTCATGTAACTAACCTCATGAAAGGGAAGTTAACTAGAATTTTGTGTAATTACCAGTGTACCTATTTGATTCTCTTTTTTCTTTGTTCTGCAGCTTTGAATGCAGGGCAGGTTGGTTTGGCGCTATCCTATGCAATCACCCTCATGGGAACGTTCCAGTGGGGTGTTAGACAGAGTGCTGAAGTTGAAAACCTGGTAATGTTTATTTCTTCCTTTTCACCTCTTGGTTCCTTTTTGTGGTTGTGACATGAGGCCTTAAGGATGGGATTCTTCTTAATTAACTTAGGACATTAATACATTAGCAAGCGATTGAGGCACCACTCCAGTCCATAAAGAAAAATAGCCTCTTCTAGGGTATCATTTGTCTGACTGATTTTGAATGTCTGTTGAGATGAATTGTGCCCAGTGACTGTCCCTCTCCATTCATAGTAAGGAAGGCTTTATAATCTCCCTTTACAGCAGAAAGGTAACTGTCTTGTTACAGTGTAGACAATTGCATTGCAACTCAGAAAAATTACAATAAATTAATCCCTCTCCGTAAGATTTGTTTAAATGATTTTTTTAGATTTGGGATTTTTAATTTATTAGTAATTATTACTGCATTTTAAAATCTGATTTGTATATCTCATGGCATTTTTTTAGGGTCCTGTTAATTCGTTGTAAAGGCTTATATCTTCTTAATTTGTTGTAAGTTAACAAATACTTGAAAGTATTTGTTTGTATTCAGCTGAGAGGATTGTGTATTTTCCAAAATATATAAAGTAGAATGCCTTCCACCAATTTACAATATTTACTAGCATGTTCTAGTTTGCCTATTTACTTTTTTAAGTTAATGTATGAGAACAAAAACTATAAAAAGAACGTACTGAGCATAAACCTCTCTTTTTTGTGTTGTGTTGACAACTGAAGGTTGCTTGTAATTATGATTTGCTGACCGTAGTCTAGGAAATACATGTAGTCCTTTTGTAGAAGTTACAAAGCCATGTTTAATAACAGATAAAATTAATAATAATGTTAGATGTGTATTTTTTTTGTCTAGCACATTGCTGCTTCAGAGCATTTTTCAGACATGAATAAACTAGTGGTGACAGACTTTAGTGAAAAATGGGAAGAAAGCTTTCAGGTTTTTTTGTACCAGTTGGGAAGTTTTGGACGTGTCAATCTGTGGGATTCTCTTATGTAGAGAGTTACAGTCTTGGAGGCTGTGATTCAGAAATACTTTGGAGGAGAAAGTCTTGTCATTCACTAAGCTGGTTTTAATGTGGAACATTGATCATTTTATGGAGCTATGATTAGCATCGACTTCTTTGACAGGTGGACATCCACCAAAAATCCCTTATTATTAAAGGCTGACTACACCTGGGGGAGGCAAGAACATTTCCTCTCTATTGTACTCTGTCACTCCTTCCTTACATGTTTTTACTTGGAGCTTATTTTGTAATGTGGAAAGGGTAGGTGGCAGTGAGGTCAGAGAAGTTGCTGCCTGGTGACCTTTGCCCTTAAAGCCACTGTAGGCAATATAAGCCTACTGGATATCTTTGTGATGGGTTTTTTCAGAATCCATCTATGAGCGGATACAGTTAAATAAAATTAATTGTGTTGCTAAGATGTGTGAGTGAGGATGCGCACCAGAGCCTAAACAGAACTTTTATTATTTGCCCAAGGGAAAGAAAGCGTCTAGGTAGCTCAACTTCTGATTCTTTTCCTTCCTGTAAGATTAGAGGCATCAGCTAATATTGCAGTTTCTTTCATATCTGGCATAAAATACATAGGAAAACAAGTTCTGTTGCATATAAGCCACTAATAATATGGTGACAGCTATCTTGGATTGTGGAGTTGCTTGTGACAAACATATTTAGAAGATTTGCTGGGGGTGAACGCAGTGGTAATGATGAGGACAAAAAAAAGGGATGATGAAACCAGTAACTTGATGCTAGTAGCTATCGTGGGTCTGCCTGTAGCTCATGGCAGTTTCATTTCTAGCTTTGTCTTCCCAGCACACAATGAAATGGTGTCATCTTAGCTAAGACTGACAGACAACTGTCATAGCTTAAACTTCTTAATACTTATGCGCATACTTGGATTTGTAATTAATCCCACTGATTAGAAATGAATGTTTATGTATGGATTTATGTATCGTGATAGCTTTGGGTGTGTAGTAGGACATGAGACGCATTCTTTCCACTTTTCAGTTGTATAAAGTAAGCATAGGATGGTACCAAATACTCTTACCTGTACTTAAAAGAAAAACTCTGGAATAATTTGCATTGAATCTTTATAGTAAAAATACACACACACACACATATATATATGCATGCAATATTTGCAGTCTATGCAAAAAGCTGAAATTTATGCATATATGTCTTCTTTCCTCCCCTTAGATGATATCAGTAGAAAGAGTAATGGAATACACAGAACTTGAAAAAGAAGCTCCTTGGGAGACCAACAAGCATCCACCACCTGAATGGCCAAGCCAAGGAATGATAACGTTTGAAAATGTTAACTTCACTTACAGTCTAGATGGACCTTTGGTGTTAAGACATTTGTCTGTTTTAATTAAACCAAAAGAAAAGGTATGTATATGGCTGTCTTTGGTCATTCACAGAAACTAAGCAAAGATGGTAAGTTAACAAGAAGCTGTGTGGTAAAAATACATTATAAAATATGTGGATGTTAGGAAATCAGTAAGTGTTCTTCTAAAAAATAAGCCTTCACCATATTTAATAGCATATTTATTTCCTGTAAATGTAGCATAAATGTGTCTGGGAACATGGCATTTCTGTCTGTCAAACCAAAGGGTTAAATATATTTGATAATTTTCTGATAAAATTTGGGTTTCATCAGGAAGTGGCAGACATTCAAAATACAGGCTAAGCCCAAAATGTTTGTTCAAATTCAAAGCAAATGGAGCTGCATTAGGAAATTGGGGATTCAGTAGACGGAACGTAAGTGGAACGAAGGGTGTCAACACACAAGGTGAGCAGAGACAACTGAAAATAAGGAACGTACATGCTCTTGCACAGAGCACTGAATGGAAGAGAGAAGAAAGAAACACAAATCAGTTGCATAAGTTTAGAATTGGGGATTTTATTTCAGTTCCTTTCGGCTACCAATCCAATTAACTGTTGCTGTTAATTAGATTGGTAGCCAAAAGAAACATAGAAATAAAAGTCTTCCTCTGCAAATTTGACTCTTCCTCCCCAATTTTGACACCATCCCAATTGAAAGAGTGCTGCAGGGAGTGTCTCCCCCACAGACAAAATTAAATTAGAGCCCTGCAGTGTTAATTCGTGCTTTGCTACATTTCAAATGCACGCATACTTTTTTGATTAGGATATCTTCCCTAGGAGGCTGGTTCAGTTCTCTACAATCATTGCCCTGGCCTCATTTGTAGCATGCTTTTCCATTCAGTCCCAAACCTGTTTTGTTGCTCAAGTGGACCTTTTTAATAACATGCATGTTACCAGAATTCAACCCAACGTTGCTGCATGGAGATGATCTCATGGAATTAGGTATGGGCAAGTTAAAAATGGTGTTTAAGAAGAAGAGCAAAAGGGATGTTTATCTACTCTCTACTTCTTTTGCCTATGGGCCATCTCTTTAGCTGTTATATATCACTCCAATATAATAGCAGACAAGAAGATTTACATTTCTTAGTGAGAGACAGAAATAAAATAAAAAATGGAAGCAAGAGATATTAGTAGTGCATGACTTAATCCTTGGTGGGGGCAGGAAGGGGAGGGATGACCGGGGGTATTTATTTTTGCTGAGCAGTTATGCTGTGGTTTTGTCATCCTGAAGTGAATTTGCCCATCTTGAAACTACTGCCAAGAACTTCGTGTTTGTTTTCTGTGATGTTTTGGACAATACTGCAGTAGACTGCTACTGTGTAAAATAAATCTCCCAAGCATCTGTGCTCCTTATATTGGTTTTAATTATGGAGAAGCGACTCTTCAGAACCAGGTTTCCAGATCCGCTAGGGATTCTGCCCATGCGGCTGTCAGTGAGAGCTCTTACGCCTGTTCAAACCCCTGGCTCGTACAGACTTCTGGTGGCTGCAGTGCCACTGGCAGGATGGAAGAGTTTAAACTTCTGCCATGCCTGTAGTTTTTCTTGTAGCCACCCCAGCGCCCAGTTTGGGAAGCTGTAGGTGCAGTAAGAATGGAGGGGGTGATTACTCGCAGATCACTCATGGGTTAGGGTCTCTTTTGATCTGCTTGTCTCAGCGTTCAGTTATTGCCCTACAGTCAAAGCAGGCTAGGAAGGACCCTCTGTTTTAACCATCTTTGCTAACACAATGTAGTCTGCCAGAGACAGACCAGGGAGTGCTCATGTGAGGAGCTCTGCCAGCAGCTGGCTGTGATTAACCTCTTCAGTTACTATAGCTGCAGCAGGAGAAGCTTAGCATGTGCAGCCTTGGGTTTTGAACACCACTATCTTTGTTTTAGGCTGCTTACGAATGCTTATTGACTAATATATTGTTAAATGCACCTTGTCCTGACAGATCCTAAATCTGAGGGTATGGCTACATGAAAAAGTTAGGAGGGTGAGGGTCTAGATTTACGGCATGGCAGCTGTTCGCGTAAATACTCTCGCAGCGTAGCACGAAAGGGAGGTTGCCTGAGGGATAACAAAGACACGGGCAGTTTCAGTGGAGTAGCTGACATGCTGTAAATCTCACTCTCATTTTTTGTGCAGCTCTACTTTGAAGTACAAGTGACGCTTGAGTAATGATGAGCCCAGCGTAGCAGGTGTACTCCTGTGTATGCACATGGCTTACATCGGGCAACAAAATCCTGGCCATGTGATTCCTGTTAGGTGGCTGGGACTTCCATTTGCAGGCTGTCGCTGTGTTTGCACTGGCTATGAACATGGGCCTCTGAAGAATACAGTGTATTAAAAAAATAAATAAATGTGTATACTGAGAGCTGTTTCAAATTCATGTCAATTTTCAGCAGCCTGTAGTCAATTGGACCAAAAATACAAATAGATTCCTCTAAATACTGAAGAGCATAGTCCTTTCATTTGATGCCAAACTGAAAGTGGGATTTTGACAATATGCAGAGCAGCTGCATTTTTATTTTAAGTATCAATGTATTTTTAATGTTTTTTTCTTTATATCCTTAATACAATACTTTATATCACTGACATTTACAGAGAAACAATTGAACTTTTGTTTTCACAACTCTGGGTGTCTGTGTTCTCCATTCAGCATTTTCTTTCTGAGCTGTAGTGTAACTGTTCAGAACTATTTTTCCTTTGTTTCACTGATATAATTTAGAATGCTAGACATATTGTCACTTATTGTAACAGATTTGCTTAAAATAAGCGGTATCTTTAATAATAAGCACTGTATAAATGTTAGTTTATATACAATAGTACAATAATGAACTGTTGGATGAAATAGTTGAATCAGAAAACAGAAGTAGAAAATACCTTTTAGCTTATGCCACGTAAGTTGTTCCTTGCAGTATACTTTTTTAGTGTTTTGTGTATTTTTGATCAAATGTGGGCGCTGCTGCTTTGTCTGAGCTTAGTGTCTCTGACTGTTAGAAAGTTTCTCCTGCTCTTGGATGTAATGTTTCCTGTGCTTAATTTCATTCCAGCAGTCATTACTGCATACATCTGAGTCTCAGGCAATGGGTAATTGCCCTCTGGTGTCTGTACGTATACTCATGAAGGTTTTCATGTTTCTTCCTCCCTTCTGCACCCCAATCACTTCACCAGGCTCTGTGGTACATGTTTAATCCTCATAAATCCTTCCTCATCAAATCAGTATCTCCAACCCGTATTAATTTTATGTTGCACTTCTCTGAACTCTTTCCAGTGTGTTGATTTCTTTCTGGAAATGTAGCGATTAGAACCAAGTGCAGGAAATAACAAATCCTGCCAGATCAGATCTGTGCAGAGTTACTCCATCACCTTCTCTGATACAATTGATTACTGTACATTGTTTTCTCTAAGAATCCTTTACCTGAAGACAACATATTGAAAAAAAGTTTGCTGTTCAAGTAGTATTCAATCACCACTAATTATATGTCTCCTCTCATTTATTAATGGGCCTACTTTCTCCCAAGTGTTGGTTTCATATGAATATTTGTAGGTCTTAACCCCTTGTCATTAAAGTTAGCAATCCCATATTTTGCATTTGCTCTACCTCTTTTTTCTGAACGCATTATTTTTTCACATTGCATACAGCTTCTGATTTTTCTTTGGGAACATATAAAAGCCTGAATCACTGTGGTTTTATTATTCACTGTTTCTCCTGTTTGGAAAGGAATCACAGCTTGCTCACATGACCTTGTAGTTTCAATACTTGTGAACTCTTTCAGTACTTGTGAATACTCTCTTGAAGCTGTCTGAAGCATGAATACAGTTGATAACCCTCCTGCTAGTTTTGGCTTTATTTTGGCTACTTTGACTACTTTGAACTACTTCACCTTAACTATGCTAACCAAAATCAGTCTCAGTTATTTAAAATGGGAATACTGCTCATACATTGTTCCCAAAGTGCTTTATGGGAGTCCTTTTTTGGATTGAGAAGTAGGTGCATGCCTGGAATGATTTGCCTACCATCACCCAGCAAACCAAGTTTAGTATAAAAATTAGCAGCCTTGAATCACATTACTCTATATACTGTATACACCAAGCCACTCTATCTTGTTTACACAATAAACCACCACACATTAAGGGAAAATCTTTCACCTTTGAATATGATCCAAGAAATTGTTGGGTATCCAAATGTCACCTGAATCCAAACTGATTTGGGGGGAGATTTTTTCCTCTGGAAAAAATGTTAATTATGAAGAAGTTTTATTTGGGCTTGTTCTACTATAAATCCTGTGATGTTGTAAAACTGTTGCTTGACATATTAATTTATCCTGAAAAGCTCATGGTTTAATTATACAAGCTTGGCTTGCTCTGTAGGTTGGAATAGTGGGAAGAACCGGAGCTGGGAAAAGCTCTCTGATAGCAGCCCTCTTTCGCTTGGCGGAACCCGAAGGAAGGATTTGGATTGATAAGTACTTGACGTCAGAGCTAGGACTCCATGACTTGCGGAAGAAAATTTCGATTATACCTCAGGTAAGAGAGTGAATTGATCTGCTATAAACATTTTCAATATAATGCTGTGTATTTAAAATGTTTTGCCGGGATATGTTCCCCCTGCACCCCTGTATGCAGTAGACATAGAAACTTTAGCGAGTAAGTCAAGTAAGACTTACTTGAGTAAGGTCTTGATTATTTTAAGATAAACAGAATCAGCTTTGGGGACTGGAGCGTTTTCTTCCTAGTTTTGTTTCCTGTCTCTTCCTCTGAAATACTTGTGAGTAGGTGTTAATACATATATATATATAGGTCTCCTCCTATAGTCTGGGAAAGAGCAGAGAAGATCTGACAGGAACATGCCAGTTTCAGCAGTTCTCTGAAGTCACTTGATCCTTTGGCACCAATTCCTGCCTGATGCGTTGCCTGAAGCTTCCTTAGTAAAGGACTTCGAGGGACCACTTTCACTTCTCTAGTCACCCCTGTACAAAATGACTGAGGCTAGATGTAGAAAGCAAACATGCCAGCTGAAAGTGAGCTACCAGCCTTTCCATTATTTGGAGATGGTTGGACAGGAGGAAAGCAGAGGAATGGACAAAAGGGTGGGTCATTATGATCCATACACAAAAACTTGGTGAGCAAGCTGAATGCAGGCAAAGCTGCAATGCAGGAAAAAAACCTGAGATGGTGTTGGGAATAGCCTCGTCTCTGGTGCTGGAGAAAAAAAGATGTTCCAAGAAGTCCAGTAGGTCACAGGTCTTCTCTTCTGTGGTCTTACTTTCAAATGAGATGCTGAATCAGAGAAGGATTACGTATAACCTCAAAACTTCCTGAAGGCAGAGCCTGTGCAGGTTACCATGTTTCATGAGAGCTTTGATCTCTTCCATGATCATTTGCTCTCCACTGGAGAGGGAGGAAGAGGGAAAAGCTCATATATTCTGTAAATGCTAAGTCATGGTTTTGGTTAATAATTTGTCTGGGATGTTGTAGCAGGTAGATAGAACAGGAGGCTGGAAACAGAGGAATTTGTTTGCCATGTTTAGCAGTTCTCAGATCTCTATATTTTATTACAGAAGATGTATTTAGAGTCCTTACACCATCTTTGTATCTGAATGTTTGCTAGCCTGTTGGCAGGATGGCTTTCAGAGTGTATTATTTTCTTTAAATTGAAAATCTGATAAAAATAGTAATGAACAGTGGTTCTAAGCCTGTCTTGATTACCTGCTTTTTTTTTTTCCTTTCCCAAGAATGGGAGTCACAGAAAAACAGGTATGGTGTTATCAAAGGAAAAAAAAAGAGGTACTTCCCCAGCAACTGGATTGTTGCCTAGTACAGGATGTCTTTTGTTTCTGTATGCTGAAGGCTTTGTTATTACACAGTGGACGTACTTACTGGTACTAGTCATCTTTTGTATGTAAAGAGGACTTTATGTGGATTTAAGTTCTGGTTTTTTGTGTGCAGCGTTCTTTTCTCCTGAAAGCAGATGATCATCAGTTCATTCAAGGTTTACAGCTCTTTGAAAGCTTTGCCTGTAACTATGGCGGGTGATTTCTACGTTTGGAAGAATTCAGCCTAGTTGAACAAAATAGAGTACTGAGACAGGAAAACTGCTGGTCAAGTACAGTGTCTACATGTTGAGTGATGCAGATGCTCAAAGTTCACTGCATTTAATTATACATGTGGTTTTTTCATACATTCGTCTATTGACATGGTTGTAAAACTGTTTTAATCCAGTTGAATTCTGTGACTTCTATCAAGTTTATATGATAGGGTTTTCATCATGGTCCCAAAGGGGTTTAAGTGTCCAAAGGCTAGCAGGTAGCATTTCTTTTCCTCATAATGGAAGACTGGTTTCCACTAAAAATATGCAAAACTATGAAGTGGTTGTAGTAAGAAGAGGAAGAGGGTTTGCAATAAGGTTTATACTATAGTAAACTGAGTGATAGGCATTGTCTTGCACTGTGTTAATAGTAGTGTCAATAATAGAAATAATAATGTAACATCGGGTAGTTATTTTGCAGCAAATATCTTCATAATTATGTGGGAAGCTAAGAAACCAGAGGGAGAGATGCTTATTTAAATTATAAATAAAACATGCTAAACAGAACCATTCCTAGAGAGTGATGAGGCAAGACTGAAGTTTTCTTATACGTAAGTTTAAATACCTACCTGGAGAAATAAAAATGCGCTTAGGCTTCTAATTGCTTGCTTGGATGGAGCTGTGTGAAGGTTGTGTTTGTAAATCTTTTCTATGCAAATGTTGTCTGCCTCCCTGACTGCAAGCATTTTTACAACAATTATTTACAGGTTTGTCTTATTACTTTCCTCTCATAAACCAGACTATTTTAAATAATAATCTGTGTCAGAAATGATAATTAAAAAATATCCTTATCTTCTGTTGCAGTACATGTCTGTTGTTAGGACTTTTATAATAGTTATGAACACTTTATAAATTCAGCCTCTTATTTTACCAACCTATAAAAATGTATTGAAAAGGAAAATAAACGTAACAATACCTTCAAAACACCAAATGGTGTATTAAAATATGTATTGTTAAACAAATTACTTTCTAGGTGTTTTTGAAGAAAAATGTTCTCTAACTTGTTAATGTTTTTTTTAAAATCCTTTTGTTCATTCAACAGGTTTTTAGTGACATGTTGCTAATGCAACAGATACTTTCAAATAATTGGCATGTTATGTCAAGAAATGCATACATTCTTTTACATTGCTTGTGGCATTTTCTGTCTTTGTTAATCCTTTTATACCACTCAGAGTGGTTTAGAAATGAAGATACAATAAAAGGGTTAATGTCTGAATTCTGTTCTGATTTACTGCAGCCCTTTGGAGCTGGGCATCACTAGGGTTAGATAGGGCATAAGTCATGACAGAGGTTGATCTTGGAGTAAGCTGAAGTTATCCAATGTAAGTTAGACTTTATTTCCTAGGGGAGAAAAAAAGAAAACATTTTGCATAAGATTTCTCCAATTTAAAGATGACTGACAACATGATGAATGGTCTCCATTTATGATTAGCACTGTTGCAACTTTTGGCTTGTTGTTGTTGTCTTTATGTGTGGTATTAAGAGGAGTTTAGCCCTATAGTTGTGTCAGTGCATGACTCTCAGGCTGGGCAGCTCTTCGTTAGCGAGTACTGATCTGTTGCTTGAGGAGTTCTGGACCAAAAGTTGTCTTCCTGCTTCTCAAGCACTACATTTTCCAGTGTGAATTGATTTGTGCCATTTTGATTAATGATCTGTTATTGGTCTGACCGGGAACTGAAGTAGAACAAAACTTGCTTCGACCACAGGTAAACCCACATTGGTACCTGAATGGGAGGAGGTACTGATTTGACTCCCTGGTGTATTTTGAATTAGAGCTTTGCCCAGCAGTGCTCCAGTTCTAAGTAAGTTTGCTTTGATGCTGTGGCAGTATAGATTAGCTTCTATGTGTATAGGTTTAAACACTGCGTTGAAATGGTGAGAGCTGTTCCTCTTAGGCTCTGGTGATAAAATTGAAGGGCTTTTGTTGTATGAAATGGGAAAAAAAAACCACAACCAAATAGAGAAGGAAAACCAGAAAGGCCTTGTGAGCTCTTTGATTCCTCTCTGGTTTATCTGCTTCAAAACCAAATTTTCAAAACTGCCCAAACGTGATTTAGGAGTGTGAGCTCATTGGCAGTGGTAGTTGCTGGTTTTCATTAACAATACCAGGAGGATAGCGATGATTTCATGTAAGCATATATATAGCTTGTGGCACCAAAACAGTGGCATGTAAATGCCTGTTTGAGTATGGACATAACTGTGTGCATCAATTTGCAAGCAGACCTGTCCTGTTTGGTAAATTATCTTCACACAGACTGGTTGAATGCTTGCCTTCCCTGCTCCACCACCGCCCCCCCCAGCACTCCCCCACCCCTCCCCCCCACCTTTAGGTATGCTATTGTGAAATACACTCCTTTGCATTTCATAAAAGATAGCTTTTTGTTTGGTATTTCTGTGCTATTGTTGATACAGGTTGGTTCTGAGTATTATTAAATTACCTATTGCAATGTAAAACCTGTGTTTATAATGGAATACTAATTTTACTTGGTTTTAGGAGCCTGTTTTATTCACTGGAACTATGAGGAAAAACTTAGATCCTTTCAATGAATACACTGATGAAGAGCTGTGGAATGCCTTGGAAGAGGTGACTTATTAAATCTAGTAATGTACATCTGATATTTACAAGCCAAAGAACACTACAGTGCTTGTGTGCGTCAGGTTTTAGATGTTTTCATCAGGTTTGATAAAGGCATAGCTGTTCATGGAGAAACGTAGACCGTTGTGTGCACGTTTGTATATGTGTGCGTTTGTGCCTGTGTGTGTAGACATGTATATTGTTATATAAGCCTTTTATGAAAAAATTATCCTTTGGGATGATGCTTTGGTTACGTTTTGATTCATATCTTAGTTTTAATGAACATTAATAGATTCTTAACAATGTGCTTTAATGTTTTTAGAATTCTAATAACTGACACACTGTGTAATCCAACTTGGCACGTACTCGTTTTGTGTCAGAATATAAAAGGTAAATCTTGCATACTTATTGTTGTGTCATCAGACACACAATAGCTGATTTAAAAGAGAGTTACTCATCCTACAGTATGTTGACATGTCAACAGGTGCAACTGAAGGAGGTTGTGGAAGATCTACCTAATAAAATGGAGACGCAGCTGGCAGAATCTGGGTCTAATTTTAGTGTTGGTCAGAGACAGCTGGTGTGTCTTGCCAGAGCGGTGCTAAAAAAAAATCGGATCCTTATCATTGATGAAGCAACAGCAAATGTGGACCCAAGGTAAAAACAAAATCTGTCATGTTAGGATGAGCTGTTTTTTCTTCTAATGTGATCATCTGTACTGTAGAGATTAACTTAAATGCTTTGTATTTCTTGTAGTTTGTATTGCTATTTTATGTTTTTAATGATAGCAACATAATTGTCTATTCAAAATGGGGTGGTTGAGCTTTGGCTACGGAGCAGTTGATATAAACTAAGCACTCAAAATATCCCTAATTTCAGTGCATTCCATAGGGTAGCAAATTTAATATTCAAAGCTTATTTGTCCTGCAGCCATAGACAAGACGACAAGAACCTCCTTGGAAATGCACATCAGTAACATCAGAATAGCCATGAAACAAGTTGAGTTCTGTTGATTTCTGGAAGAAATGTCTCTTGGAAAGAAATAAATAATAAATAAATAAATAAATAATCTTCTCCCCCCAAAAAGACCCTCAAAACTAGAAATGTAAAAAATGGCTATAAGCAAAACCGGATACTTCTGATTATGAGATGCTATCCCTTCAAGTGGCTCAGATACCAGTGTAATAAGTTACAGATAAAATAGAGGTGGGTGGGAAGGTAAGCTGTCCTAAACACCACAGGAATTGCAAAACAGATTTGGAGATGTTTAAAGCTACAGGAGGGACTCATTTATCATTCGTTATTTTCTCTTGTATAACTCAGGCCGGCAGAACTTCCCTGAATTCATTCCTGTTTGAACTAGAGTGTACTTCTAGAAGAACATCCAACCTCAATAGAAAAAAAATTCAATGACAACCCTTGTTAAATTGTTCCAATAGCTAAGTGCCCCCACTGTTAATTTTTGAAACATTTGAAACGCTGGTGGAAATATTTTGGAAACAATACTGCAAACGTACTGCATCAATTAGTCTGAGCTGAATATATAGTTCCAACAAACTATGGCTTGAGGGAGAACTCAAAGTCCAAAGAGGACAATAACACAGCAAGTCCCTCAAACAGATGCATTAAGGATTTTGTATGTCATCTGGGCGTGACTCATTTTTATAACATCTTCTTGGGGGAGAAGTGGTGCCACTAGGGTAGCTTTGCAGTTCAGCTGACAGTGTATTTCTAAAACCTTTAGAGAAGTGCATTCCCTTCGCTGAGGTTCTCTTTTTTTTTCTCTGTTTTTTTTTTTTTCTTTTTTGACTATTAGTTTATTTTTGGCTGAGCTCTGATAGATTAACTGTGATTAATCATAACTGTGGAAATTTAATACCATCTTAGTCATCCTCCCTATTTTGGCATCTCACATGTGTGTGTTCTCAACTTACACTAGCCATTTAATTGATCTTGATTAAGGTGTGCTGCAATATGTATTATAATAAGGTGAATGTTTGTTTGTATCAACTCTAGGCATAACAATACAAATAATAACTTGGAACTTCTTTGAATTCAGTTTGCATTACAGTCATTATTACCTGTTCCTTAATGTGCTGCTGTAACTAGAGCTGAGTATTTTTCAGCTGTGCAATCTGATAGGACACTCATCAGGAAATGCTGATGTGGGTTGCTTAACTGAGCAGTTAGGGAGGCATTTTTGGCATGTATGGAAAACCTCCTCCTCTTCTGATGCACAACCCCCATACCTGGCATCCTTGTCTCTAGCCTGGCGGCAAGCACACATCGTATCAAGCACCTGGGATAGGAAACCGTGGAGAGCTGCCGCTGGCTCTGGAGATACTATTTCTTTTTTTGTTTTTCTGGCTCTTGATCTCCTTGCCTCAACCACTGCTGCAACTGTGTCCCTTCTCCAGTTCAACCTGGAAGCAAATGTGAGGAGGCAGGGCTTGGGGGTGGGAGGAGGAGAAAAAAGGGTGGGGTGGCATGAGGCATTGGATAAAACAGCAGGGTGAGAGGTGTGCGTGTACCTTCCCCAGGGCTGAGGGACTCCCCAACAAGTTTCTCCAGCTCAGATAGGCCATTCTTGTTTGCTGCTGAGTAGACTGGACAAAGGAGCGAAGGGAAGGAGTTTGGAGTGCACCTTTCTCCCTCCTTCCTACATCTTCCAGCTCCCATATGTACCCTTATTCTTGCCCTTGCTCCTCGTAGCTACCAGCTGCTCTGCATGCTGCAGGGGTGTCAGCGCTGTCGTGAGGGAGAGGAGGAGCTTGCCATAAAGAAGGTTGCCCTAAGTCAGACTACTTGCATGTTTTACATGATGACTGACAGATGTTTAATTTGATCTTATCTTCCTGGTCCTGAAGCTGGCATTCTTACCCTGAAGAATGGAATCATTTCGTAGCAGTTGAACTATTCTGGGAAGTTGTATGAAATCTGGAGCAGAAGAGCTGAAAATCTTTCTGTAGTCACTTTGGTGATATATTGAAACAAAATCCTTAGTAACTGAGACTTTTTTTAAAATATTGAGTAAGTTCAACTTAACTAAGCTTGCTGCGCACTGACTACAGTATTATGCGTTAACTCGTATTTTTACTGCTTATGGAGGAGAAAACTTTTTCAGACCAGTCCCCTGCCACGTTTTTACAATGGTTGTTCATTGAGTCTGGTAGAAACAGCCATTGCTCATCGTTCAGTTCATTAGCCAGCTTAACCTTGTACGGCGTAACCTTTCGTTACGTCTAACTGCTATCTGTAACTGTTTCTCTTTTTGAGAAATTATCCAAAGCCACTCAGGAATTGTGTAGTGAGAGATACGCTTCCAGGACAATTCCAGGAGGACATTAGACTGAAGATAATAACTTATCCAGTGTTCCTTTCAGCAGCTTTGTTGCTTCTCATTCAGGTTATATTTATTCTTGCTCTTTAGATAGTGGGGGTTTTTTTTGTTGTTTTGGTTTTGTTTGTTTTTTTTTTTTTTAAACACAGTCAACTAATTCAGGTTACACCAGATCTTGGGTTGCTGTGAAACTTGGTGTTAGGTCCTCAACCCGTGGTGCCAGTGGGACAGCTATACCACCATTTTGTGCTTTATTATTGTACTGTTCCTTGTGATGGGGAGTATCATGGTTCCCTTTTCCATACAATCAGATTAGGGTTGAGTTTTGTCATCCAGCAGCCCTGGTTTGGTATTCAGGCTGCATCTTTGGTTTCTAATATGCCTGAAAGATGATGGGGTTTGATCCACTGAGGTGGGTGATGGAATCAGTTGGCACTTGCCTGGGAAGTTTCTCAGTGTGGGTAGGTGCCACAAAGGGTCCATTTATGCCCTGAAAAAAAGGACAGAAATGCTGCTTCCTTTGGCACTTTTCTAGAGGGTAGATGGCTCTAATTGGCACGTGATATAGTCTCTGCACTCTGTCAGCACATAATTCTGTACACGGATCTTTTCTTAGTCTTCTATATTTTCTTGCCTTTCCTCACTTTTTCCCAAGATTCTTCTGGAGCTTACTGATGGTGCTTCTGCCTGCCACCCCACAAACTATACTCCAAGATCTACCATGAACCTTAGAGAGAATCTGGTCAAGTCCCTATCAGTGGACATGGCTGCATGAGATTTCATACTGTGATATTGGAAGATGGAGCTGTTAGGTCTGTTTCTGATTACTTTGTAGTCTCATTTTAGAACATTTGTCACACCTGCAATATGGCCAGCAGTTTCTCATTAGGGATAAGATTATATTCAAGAAATACCTGTTTAAGATAATAGTTTGATAGTATCTATCTAAGAATGAGAAATGGTTTCCATTGTAAATGTAGGAAGAGGTGGTGCTATAAGGAATGCACATAATAAAGGAAGATACAATAAATGAATGCAGAGGACAGGGATGTTCAAGGCTGAGGCATTCTTCTCGGATAACAGTAGGAATAACCTGAGAGTTACGAATCATTTTGAGCCCTTTAAAATGTTGTTTTCAAAATTCCTGAGCAAGCTACGATCCTCTCCACTTCTTAGTAGCTCTGCAGGAAACCTCACCTTGAGCTTGACTATAAGGAAAGAAAAAGGCTTTCTTTACGTTATTCTAGGGAGTACTGAACCTTTTGTTTCTGTTTTACTATCTCTAACCACTGCAGAGAACACATCCCGCTGTCTATATAAGCCTCTTCCCTACTGAGTGTTTTCATGTATGGCCCTGATCTTTTTCTTTTGAAAGTCATTGAGGCATTGCTGAGAAGATAGCAAAAAAAAATACACGCATTAACACTGGGTTGAAAGCGCTGGTATGGCTGTCATGTCTGGCATTAATGATGAGCAACTTCCTTTTCTTAAGGAGACTGTTAACACACAGGGCTGAACAGCCTGGCTCTGTCCTGACTTCTCCTCCCATCTCTTCCCTGATTGCGTACTGGCCTTGGTTCAAAAGGAGGAGTTCAGGAATACCTGCTCCCCACCAAGTTGTTTAGTTTCTTCTAGGAAGCAGGAGCAGAAGGATGAAGCCTTCTCAGATTGTGGCCCAGAATCTGGTTCTCTTAAGCTCAAGACAGAGCTTAAATGTTTCTGTCCCCCGATGGAGGTGACAGTCAGCATGCATGGGAACTCTTACTTAACTGTTTATGTCTTCCTTCTCTCTGATGATTCGTCCTGTCATCAGCAGGGATTTGTCTAATCCTTTGTCATGCTGATTGCTTAAACTTAGTTTGTAACAGAAGTTATGTTCAGCCCTTCAGAGCATGTGCTTGTGCTTTTTACTGTGGAAACGTAATGGTTATTCTATTCCTCTAAGTCATCCTCTTCTTCCAAAGTTGACTTTGTTCACTTTTTATTGTTAGTGCCTCCTGACATGGTGACATCAGAACAATTCTTCTTGCTTAATATATGAAGTGGTACCAAATATTTATCATGTGCAGACAGATTCAACGTAGAGTACTACTTCTGTCTAAAAAATAATAATTTCTCAGAGAAAGACATGTGTTGCATGAATCTTTGTTGTATGTTATTTGATTTTCCAGTTACTTCTAACAATTTGAAGAATTAAGGCTTTGCAAGCAACTGGTTGAATCCAACATGGCTGCCTAAATATACCAGTGTATCCAGATATAGATATCTCCTTTGTCTTGTTTTAACCCTGTCTACAGCATTTATTATTCTCCAGACATTATATATAAAGTACAATTGCAAGTTTTAATAGAAATCCTGGAAGTGAGACCCATGCCTTCAAGTGCCTGACTTCTAGACTGGAGCTTCCTTGGTCCAACTAACTCAGTATATTTTGAGTTCTTTGTGTCTTCCTTCTATCCTGGATGAGAATTTTAATTTCTATACCTTCTTCTCCATTGTCACCACTCATCAGTTTTTTTGAAGGGTCATGGGCAATATGTGAGTATTCACATGGCCTGGCTTTGTGCCCAGGTTGGGAGCCAAGGCTTCCTGTGCAGTGTGGGCTGTCAGGTGCCTCTAGAGGGCATTCATCACCTGACGGCTGCCTAATTCATGTGCTCCGATTCACCTTCCAGCCATGCCTTTCCCCTTTCATTGACTAAAGACAGGACTATATGGATTTCCACATTTAAGCCTGACTGGTATGCTCTAGGTGGTGTCAATGCTTCTCTTGTACAGTTAGTTACTTGAATAATCTCCAGTTTTATGAGTATTGCACCTCTTTTGCCTTAATGCTTATTTACACAGCTAAAGAACATTTTAGTGTCTGATGTATCTTTCAGTATTAATTTTATTTCCTTTTCACGGTTCTCAGCTTTGTTTGTGACAGTTATCACTTTAACCCTGTACTTCAGTGTTTGTGCTCTAGCTTAGTTTTCATTCTTTACAAGTCTTATGTTTCCTCCTGATATCCTTTTCTTAGGTGGTTAATTAATATAGTAGGTTGAGGCTCTTAACTTGAAAGCTTTCATCCCTTTCCTTGGGTTGTGTGTTCCAGTTAACACTTTTGGTTTATGGAATGTGCCAAGTTTTCTTTTTTCTGTGTTCAAGTCCTTGAGCTACTCCAGTACTAGTTTAGTTTACCAACCACCTCCTTTATTTAATCCCCTTTTGCAATCGAAGTCAAGAATCTTAGTTATAGGCTGTCTTGTGTTCGTTCTTCAGTTGATTTGCAATGAAGGATATTTACTTTCACCAACATGCTGCTTGCATGAACTAAAGCTTGAAAGAAAATAACAATGACCTTTTTTTGGTATAGAAATCTGTAGGAATATCTGACTCTACAGAATTTTCCTCTTTCTGTAATCAAAGCCTGGGAAATTAGTCTCCTGAAATGAAACCTATTGCTCTACTTGCAAGAAGAAACTCTTTCCTCCTCAAGTATTAGAGGGTAGATTTTGGAATATGTTTAATGATATGCCTCCAAGTCATCTAATATAATAAGAGGAAGAAGCACTGTGATGACTTCATAAGCATATTTCCTGCTATACAGTCATGTTTGATGAAGTCATAAAACCTGCCTGCCATTCAGTTATGCATGCAAACATCTTATTTTTGTCTGCATTGCTCTTGGTGTGTTTCAGAACAGATGAATTCATTCAAAAGACGATCCGTGAAAAGTTCGCTCACTGCACAGTGCTGACCATTGCACACCGCTTGAACACCATTATTGACAGTGACAGGATTATGGTAAGAGAGTTAACAGCTTAAAATTCTTCTTTATTCTTCTTCAGGGGGGGAAAAAAAAAAAGTTATTGACTCTTTCTTCTGAATTTTGATCCAAAAGTGGGCGGAGGTTTAAGTCATACTTTAGACTTATCCTAGTTAACCTAGTTATCCTAGTTACTGTGACAGGCCACTCATAAAACTGTGGAAGTAATGACCTGAAAAGACTTCTTACATTGTCTGGCCCTGTGGTTTCCAACCTGCGAGGCATAAACCGATTGCAGGTGAGGTGCAGCAGCAGACCTGAGCAAATAAACTCTGCCAGCACTAGGAGCCTGTGAAGACACACCCAAGAGGCTCTGGACAGAGTCAGCTGGATTTGGTCAGGTTTATTAATTCAGTCTCGGTGGGCTGAGGGAGGCAGTGACAATAGTTCGTGGTGTGGGATGTGTGAGGAGGAAGTGGTAGAGGTTCTGGGGCAGGAGACATGGAGGTAAGAGGCAGCAGCTGCCTTGGGGCAAGGGTGGTGGTGGGAGAAGTGGAACTAGACTGGTGAGGTAATGAACATGGCCAGCTTTCTAAAGCAAGGTTCAAACAGAAAAGATGAAGCGCTACCAATCCAGCAGCCTCTACTGCTCTCTGTGTTCTCAAAAGAGCAGTGATATACTCTGCCACTGTGAAATACCCTCTCTGCCATCTTGTCTGCCCCATGGTGCATTGCACGCACGTAGAAATTGGGAAATACTTGCTGATTATTTTCATCAAGGCAATGGTCTTCCCTAGGCTCTCAGGAAATCAGGCTGGTTTGTGTCCTTGAAATGATGTGCAGCCTGCAGTTTTGCAATTTTCTGCAGCAGGAACAGGAGCCCTTTGCAAACATTTTCTTCACAGCCAGTTAATGAAGTAACTGACATAGTGGGCAAACCATGTTCATGAGCGGAACTCAAATTTAACTGGGCTTCAAGCAGAAATTACCCTTCACCTTTCAGTGGTAACCTTAAAAAAAAGACTTTCTTCAACTTTTGCTTTGTGAAAATGAAGCATGTTAATTCTTTCCATGTTTTTTTACTGGATGCTCAAAACATTTTAAAATCTGTAATTAAGTTACAATGGTTGCCTGAAGTACACAAAATGAAACAATTGGGTCTACTGAGGTGAGTGGTGTTCTGAGGAGTAGAATAGATTGTGAACTGAGTGATTATAGTTTACTTACAAAGAGAGAAACCAGCAGAACTGCCATAAGTAGTCATATAATTGCAAGCATTTAACATATAATAAATAAATATTTTCTTCACTGGTGAATACCTCCCCACAGGTCTAATGGATACATTGGTGTTTTCTACAACTGAAGTGAACAAAAGATTTGTGAGGAAACAACTGTGACCTAATTAATAGCTCTGTGTGTGTGTTAGCTATCCAAAGGGATTTCTGTGGGTTTTGGTTCATTAACTACCATTAACATGTTATGCACAGAATGCTCTTTCCATGAAGATGTTTTCTTAGTTTTACCTTTAATATCATGCAGTTGTAATGGAAACTAGATGTTTCATTTACTTTTTTGCCAAAAATCATTGGAACAAAGCATAGAAATTGTCCTTCTCCCCAGACTGCTCAGTATTATTACCAACTATATAGCTACTCTACTGCATTTTTAGAGTCTGTATGTTATTCTTAACCTTACATTGTTTCAGTTTAGCCACTATTAAGATTTCTAGTTTCCTGAAAGTCCATTTATGTTCGTACATTTTCTAATACAGTCTTTTTGGAATGCCTTTGTCCTCTTCAGAGTATTAAGGAACAGATTTGCAAGAAGATGTGCCTTTGAGTCTGCAGTCATTAGTAACTCTTGAATATTTTTCATCTTTTTACATTGCTCCATTTTGGTCTTCTTACAGATTTCTGTAATTTTTTGAGGAGGGAGGAGGGTGAGAAGTATAGGACAGAAAAAAGGAGGAAACCGACATGTGACCCCTTAACAAAACTATCTTCTTGACATCCTTAGTCAGTTATTGATTCTGTTTCCAGACAAATCAGAAATGTGGTCGCATATTTAGAATGATCAGAGTTATGGCAGGTGTGCTTTTGTTACACTTTTAATTACGTGGTTTACTCAGGCATGTAACTCCTAGTGGGAATATAGCAGAATTTTGGAAGAGTAAAAAAAATGTGTGTTAAAAATGCAAAGAAAAAGAATATCCCTCTAGAAGACTAACTGTTAATGAGTGCCGTTAACAAAAACAACAGCATTCATGGAAAATTAATCCTTTATTTAAATACCACAAAAATTAAGAAGACTTAGCTAAAGAAATCTTTCAGTGTATTTTAAAATTTGGTTAGTCAATTTGGTTTTAGTAATTCAAAAATTTAACTTGATGCAGTGTCGTGGTTCAACGCCAGCCGGCAACTAAGCACCACACAGCCGTTCACAAGCTCCCCCTGCCCTGGTGGGATGGGGGAGAGAATTGGAAGACTAAAAGTGAGAAAACTCATGGGCTGAGATAAAGACAGTTTAATAGGGAAAGCAAAAGCTGTGCACGCAAGCAAAGCAAAACAAGGAATTCATTCACTGCTTCCCATGGGCAGGCAGGTGTTCAGCCATCTCCAGGAAAGCAGGGCTCCATCACGTGTAACGGTTACATGGGAGGACAAATGCCATCGCTCCGAACGTCCCCCCTTCCTCCTTCTTCCCCCAGCTTTATATGCTGAGCATGATGTCATATGGTCTGGGATATCCCTTTGGTCAGTTGGGGTCAGCTGTCCCAGCTGTGTCCCCTCCCAGCTTCTTGTGCACCCCCAGCCTGCTCGCTGGTGGGGTGGGGTGGGAAGCAGAAAAGGCCTTGACTCTGTATAAGCACTGCTCAGCAACAGCCAAAACATCCCTGTGTTATCAACACTGTTTTCAGCACAAATCCAAAACATGGCCCCATACTAGCTGCTGTGAAGAAAATTAACTCTATCCCAGCCAAAACTAGCACAGATTCTTCTTTAAGAGTAAGAATGCAGATTCTTTTTTAAGAGTAAAAATGCACAAACTGAAGTGCATTGTTCTTCCATTACCCAGTATTACTAAAAACCCTGGGTTTGTTTCTCCTTTAACTGAGACCTCTAGGTGCCTTTATTTATAAACCATCCCAAATCTCTGTTGTTTACTGTCATGGTAAGTTTGTTAGAAAATGAGGGAAGAATAACAAAGATGGAACCTGGCAGTTGGAATATTAACAAATGTCTTTTGACAAATAATGAGTAAAGTTATTTTTCAAACAAATTTCAAGCAAACTTGTTCAACTCTCTTAACTCAATCACAGAAGTCCAAGCCCATTCCTGAACAAGTATACATAATCTGAACATAAACTAGGGTTTCCCTCCCTTCTCATTGAATCAGATTGCAAAGGAACCTCAGGAGGTCTCTAGTCTAACATCCTGCTCAAAGCAGGGTCAGCACTGACTTCAGATCAGGTTGCTCAGGGCTTTTTCCAGTTGGGTCTTGAAAATCTTCAAAGATGGAGATTTCACAATCTCTCTGGGCAGCCTGCTCCAATGCTTAATTATCTGCCGTGAAACCTTTTTTTGCTTATATCCAGTTGAAGCCTCCTTTCAGTTTATGGCAATTGTTTCTTGTTTTCCCACTGTGTATCTCACTAAAGAGCCTGCTTCTGTCTTCTCAGTAACTTCCTTGTAGGTATGGGAGGGTTGCTGTTAAGTCCCCTGAAGCCATCTGTTCTCCAAGGTGAACAAGGCCTGCTCTGTCAGCCTCTCCTCATAGGTCAAGTGCTCCAGTCCACTGACCACCCTGGTGACCCTATTTCAAGCTTTCTCCAATTTACCCTCATCTTCTTTGTACTGAGGGGTCAAAACTGGTCACCATATTCCAGGTCTGATCTGATGAGCACTGAATAAAGCAATTCCCTTGATCTGCACTCCTGTTGATACCCATGGCACACTGCTTGGACTCCTGTTCAGCTTACTGAACACCAGGACCCCACCTCCTTTTCACCACAGCTGATTCCCAGGCAGTTACTCCCCAGCTGGTACTGATGAAGGGGCCAGTCCATTCCAGATTCAGGACTTTGCATCTGTCATTGCTGAGTGTCGTGAAGTTCATGCTGACCTATTCCTTTAGCCTGTCGAGATCTAAATAGCTTTGAATGCCAACCCTTTCTTAAGCGTATTGACTGCAATCTCCAGTTTGGCATTGTCCACAAGCTTTTGATTTAATTCAATTTAATTGCTGGTTAAAGCAGAACTTTCCAAAAAGAAAATGTTCGCTTTTAGGGTTAATCCAAACATTTTAAAAAAAGAAAAAAATTAGAACAGAAAATAATTTTGAGAAAGTTATGAGAAAATGTCAAGTTGGATGAGTATGGAAATAGGAACTGAACGTGAACTGTTGCATGTCTGCTCACACCCATCGTAATAACCAGTTCTATTTTAGAAGAGAAGAAAAGCCTACTGGAAGAGGAAAAAAAGGAAGAACAGAACACATTTTATACAACTGTAGACAAAGCTGGCCTCAGGAGTTGTTTTAATTCTCGTTTGTTCCATTCCCAAAACCATACCTCTGGTTTCATAATCCAGGTCACACCTTAAGAGTATTTCCATTATATCTATCTTAGTGATAAACACATTTTATCAGAACTTCAAACGCTTAAAATCATTGAGGGAAGAGCTGTATTGTGTAACGTGATACTCTCTAACCTAATCACCTCAATGAGTAATACTCCATTGCACTTGCATAGGACCTTTCATCTGGAAATTGTAACGCTCTTTACAAACATTAATTAATTAAACTTCAAACACCTGGGTGAGATAGGGAAGTATCCATACAATCTTTGGAACCAAAGTTGGAAAGACTTGTTAAGTCAGACCATCAAATAATACTACCATAAAATTATAATCCTGTGGTTTTCAAACTCTTCTTTTTTTTTTTTTTTAAACTTCCTTCCCTCTGTGTTGCTCCAGAGTCTCATAGGACATTTTCTCATTCCTTTTTCTTCATTAGTTTGAGAACCCAAGTTGTAACTCCT